ACAGATCCGCCAACCGACTAGATTGGATACTACTGAGGGGAAGGGTGTAAAAAACCATTGGAGAATCGAAAGGAAGAAACTGTTATTTTTTTCTTACCGTCGGAGAGCCCTGATATTTCACGGAAAAAGTGGGTCGGAATTACTGAGTGGTAACGGACCCATCACCACAAAGCGACAGCACTCCGGCTATTCAACTTTCGAAGCAGAGGGGAAGAGAAAAGAAAAAGGAAAATTGAAAAGAACAGGAAAGAGGAACGGCGAATAGAAAACGCAAATTGCGAGAATCCCATCTCTGACCCCTCTTACTTCCTCTGGGAGGGTTCCTGTTATCGCCCTCCAAGTCTGAAAACCTGAGCATCTATTGGGCGGTGGCTTTCCAATATTTCCTCTCCTCTCCCTCTCCTTTTCACCACTGTGAAAGATTACGTCCCCACACACTCCACCACACCCTCGGAACCCACGAGGTGCTCTTAACCTGTGGTCTCTTTTTTCTTTCTTTCCTTTCCGTCTTTTTTCATCTTTTTCTTTCACTGCTACTGAAAAGACTCGCGATTTGGTTCATCCAAAGCGTTTCTAGGCCGCCTTCTCCACCCAGGTTCGTTACCGGGTCGAGTCCGACCAAATTTCCCTCCGTCTCGATTTTAGGGTGATTTATATCTTGGGTTGCCACTCAATCAAGACACCGTCTCTCGCGCTATCTCTCTTTGAGCCTGGTGGTCCATTTTATTTGTTTTTTCCAATCTTAAACCTTTTATCTAATCATTTCCTCGTTTCGCTTGTGGGTGCTGTAACTGGCCTTGGCCCTGGATTACTTTCTTAACCCTCGTCCCCCAGGCCTAAAAGCGACGGTTCCTTTTTTCTTCCCGCTGGTTCCTCGTGCTGCTGTGCCTACCGCCACCTGCAAGGCATCCTCCATCCACCCTAAAAGGCGACTAAGGCAATTAAGCATCATCTTGATCCAAGCATCATATCTCTCAAATCCAGCACCGTCTGATATCCCTATTCTTAACTCCATTTGTCAATTACTTCTGCCCCTCGGTGTCATCTGTTTTACGACAAGATCACGCGCTTGATCTTGTCTGTTTTCTTTCAATTTCCATTCACTTTCCAATCATCAGCTCGGGTGTGAATAGTGCCTGTGCGAGTCCTGTCGGCTGATATTGTTTCTGGATTGAGTTGCCTCCATCCAGATTCACTGAAAAGTACGTTCCACAAAGGAAGAAAGAAAAGGAAGAAGAGAAAGGCTTCGCCACAAGATCATATTGCGATCTCCTACACTGTCCTTCCCCTTCTTCATATCGCGATACAACATACTCGTGTTTGTATCCATAAAGCTCATTGTGTTTTTCGACGCGTCTAGAAACAGCAGACACGCGAGTTTGAAGGAAGATTAGGGACATCTCCGGTTCCGGCTGAGATCTGTGTTTTATGGACAACAGACCTGCCTCCGAGTACGCGCAGTCAGGTTCGCACTTTCCGTATCCACCGTCTGCCGCTGCGCATTCTGAACTCCCAGCTGCAGACCAGGCTTCTGCTGCTGCCACTGCTCAATACACGCCTCAGCAAGAGGTCCGTCCTACCCCTCAGTACACGCCTCAACCCGAGGTTAGACCTGCCTCTGCCGCCGCCGCCAACATTTCGTCCTCCAACACACCGCAGTCGGACTACGGTCTGAACCAGCCGCCCGCCGCGCGCTCACCCGCTTATCCGGACTACCTCGCTCGCCCGCCTCAATACCATCACGCCCCCAACACCCAGGCCGGTGGTGCGGCAGGTATGGCTCAAGCAACAAGTCCGTCCATGACCACCCTCCATGATGGGCACCAAAATGACCATCGCAATCACACGAACGTGAAGTCTGACGCGGACGTTCCTATAGATCCCTCTATCGCGGCCTCCAGCCCTACCTATCCTCCTCCCTATTCGCCCTATCAGCCTCAAGGTCATGACATGGCCCAGTATCAGGGCCATCCTCCCCCACCGCCTCCTCAGATGTATGGGCGTCCGGAATGGTCGCATGGTTATGGACAGCACCAGCACGGTCTTCCTGGACCCTATAGCGCTCCTGCTACAACGGTTGGTTCCGCCTCCCCTGCTGCGACCGCAGGGCCGCGCCCTGGCCAGGTATGTCTTTGATAATTTTGGCGTCTATTTCCAAAGGCTGCGCGTCCGCGTTTCTTGTTGTCTTGGACGCCTCGGAAATCGGAGGCCGCTGCCAGCGTGCCTGACGGGGTTGTGGAACACGGCGCACTCTTCATCTGCACCGAATATGTTGTTCAAAAGCTCATCGACTTTTTTTGCAGGTCTACTCTTTTGTGCCCATTCCTGGGGCACAACAGCACAAACGACCCCGGCGTCGCTATGAAGAAATCGAACGTATGTACAAGTGTGGCTGGAACGGGTGCGAAAAGGCTTACGGTACTCTCAACCACCTGAATGCCCACGTTACCATGCAGTCGCACGGAGCCAAGCGGACTCCCGAAGGTATGTTTCTGATATATTCCTCTATCTTCTTTTCTCTCTTTTTTAAATCCCAATGGCAATGTCACGGGAGTTGCCCTGTTCTTGATAGCGGCTTTGGTTTCGATTAGACTAGTGCGGGTATCTCACACTAGTCGAGTTACACTGCTTTAGCGCTGCGGATCGCAGTAGCGCAAGGCACTGGCGTGGAGTTAAATTCTACATACCCGTTCAACTTCGATGCTCAGAATGACGAGCATTTTGTTTCATTTGCCCGCTTTCACCCACCCTCTACTGTGTTCTATTATCTAATTTGCCCTTTGCCACAGAATTCAAAGAAATCCGCAAGGAATGGAAAGCTCGAAAGAAGGAGGAAGAGGCCCAGCGTAAAGCTGCCGAGGAGCGGGAGCGTGCTGCCGCCGCTCAAGCTGCTCAGGCGAACCAAGTTGATGCCCCCGGTCCTACCGATCCTGCGCAGGGTCAACCTCCTGCTTACGCTAGCGGTGTCCGCCCTCAGCTGCCGCCAATTGGTTACCAACCTGCCGACGGCCAGGTATCGGGGCAGTATGGCGGTGCCAGTGGCATGGTGTATCAGGGTAATGGCCAGATGGCCTATCCTCCAAACTACCCTCACTCCCCGTATGGACAAAGCGGGCAGGTGTATCAGCAACGTAAGTAGTCAGTCCTTTGTTATCATTGCATTGTCGGGACCGAGCCACAAGGAAATGCACAAAAAAGAGAAGAAGGAAGAAGAAATAAATCCCTTGTCAACATGCCGGAAGGCAGGATGGAAAGACGTTTCAACGAGGTCCTTGGATCTATTGCTCTAGGGACAATAGCTGATCGACGATGGCTTCTCGCAGAAAACCAATCGGCCAGCTACCCACAATAGATGCCCACCATTCCTGTGTTCTCTCAGGTTGCATATTCTAATATCTCTTACCTCCTAATCCCGTGTCACCATCGCGGATCTAATTCTTTAAGTCTCGCGCACATGATACCATCTGGCCTTGAATCGTTATTCTCGAAGAGCGGCCTTGCGACTTACGCTCTGTTCCCGTTGTTGTTTTTGAATTAGATCGCTTGACATGAGAAGAGAAGACAAAATCTACCCCTTTGCACTCAAAAGACAACATGCCCTCGTCCTTGCAAAGCCTGGCTCCAGGACTGTTGTGATTTTGGACTCCTGGCGAGGCACTTTGCATGAGCTGAGCGTTCTCCTGTGATACATGCCGGCATCTTTCTTATCGAGTCCCTTTCATTGATACTCTGCTTCGCTTCGCATTGTACTTTTTCTCTCTTTTGTCCTGACTGATGTTTTTTCTTTCCTCGTTACCCTGGGTTGGTTTGAACTTGTGCATTATGTCCTTTGCTCAGTGGACCTTCCATGCAGTCATGACCCTGTCTGGTGGCTAAAGTCTTACAATTCGATCTTGATTATTCTGCTCTCCGTTCCTGGTGGCAACTGCCGCCTCGTTGGGCCTTTGAAATTTGAGACACGTGATGTGGTGCAGAATCGAAGCTCGATAGCTCAAATGATGATGTCAAAAAGATTTAATTGCGGTTTCGTCGTAGATTAATAATATTCCTAGGCAACATCACTTGGAGGCCAAGAGTTTGGCAACCCTATGAATGACAAAGATACGGGGAAGCCCTGTGCATGAACGGGTTGAAGTAGGCTGTGTAAGATATTAGCGTAGGGTTCATGCCACACTTCAGAGAGGTATAAAGTAAGACATTGTCATCTGCGTTGACTATGATTTGAAGTTTCCCTGGGCTGCTCGATCAATCGTGCTTTTTACTAAATGAGACTATTGCCGTTGCATGTTCTATGTCATTTTAAGTCGAACCCCAGTTCGTCGCTGCTTATGCCTCTTAACCTTCAAGCGGAGGGTTCCCACTTTTCTGAGAAATCGGTAAGGTAGGACAGACTAGTATTCTAAGTGGCCTAGCCGTAAATAATAAATGCAACGATTAGTCGATCCTGAAGTATGTATGAGACTAAGAAACGGGACTGCCGAGGAGGCTAACAGTAAACATGAGCCCGTGGTCTCATAAGGCTGAACCAACAGCATAGCGCAGTGTGGCGAAGCTGTGCTACATGTGGCTTTATAGTGTGGCTAGTGTGGTAGCCTCTGAAGCAAGATAACCCGAACGGAATTATGTTTCTCCGCGCAAAAGTAGCAATCGCAGTGCGCTAACCTTTTATTGTCTAGCTCGGATAGCAGCGATAACTGCGATAGCGCTTTTTTGGGCCTGCTCTGGATGATTTCTTCCGGTGGCCGCTCAAGGGTGTTATTCTGTCCAACGTCTTATCTTCTCTTCCTCAATAACTTTTCTTGATTACTGTTCTTGCGAAAATCCGAGTAGCGGGTCATTTGAAATCTTCTTGCTCTGCCGGTCCAGCTTTAACATTCGGAGTCGACAGTTGCGCATTCGACTACGCTGGGTCGAACGTTTGGACGTTACAAAGTGGTCTTTAGAGGGTCAGGTGTGAGTGATTGAGGACATAGGGTAGAGTGAAGACTTGAAGGCCCTAAATGCTTCGCTGTACCAATGGCGCTGCGCTTCGGACCAGTGTCCAGCACACTGTCGGATTGAGAAGTCTGCCGGTCTCACGATCTACTCAAGCCTCTCAGAGTATCCTATATGCTGCTCCTCTTGCGCGCGCCGCACAGACAGGCCGAGTTGTGGGGCAACCTGTAGCCTGGGGGTCAATTTCCGGCGTGAAGTGGTACTCAACAGAGGCTTCGGGGTTGGCCGCTGCGGAAGAGCAAAGTGCTGCTGATTCAACGACGAATCTTGAGGACGACGAATCACAACAGAAACCGAGCTGGGGCAAGAGAAAATACTACCAGGACCATGTGCTGTTGGAGATTGCCAGCGCCGGGACGCATCCCGATGGTGGTCCCTTAGCGGACATAGTCAGGAAGAAGGTGGTAAAGAAGGAGTTGAAGTGGTTGCAGGATCCTAAGGCGCTGGCGGACCGGGTCGCCAAAATCTTGCAAGCCGACGATTTTGCTCTCGCGGTGGCGATTGTTCGCGGGGCGCAGAAGGAGAATATGGAATGCTCAGTCGGGTGGAATCACTTACTGGAGTACTGTATGGAGAAGAAGCAACCCAAAGCGGCATGGAAGCTCTACAATGAAGTGAGTACTTTTTTTTTTCCCTTCGCAAGTTCTCTTCTTGCACGATTGCTGACTGTTGTCTCTCCGCGAACTCGCAGATGAAGAAGCGTGGACGAAAGCCTACTTCCTGGACTTATACGATTATGTTGTATGGCCTTGCCACAGTTCCGAGTTCCGTTCACATGGGATTGAACCCGGTGCAAACTGCTTTGTCAATTTACAGATCTATCTATGAGCTTAACTCTGCAGTCAAGCCTTCTATCATCCACAGCAACGCCATGCTCACCGTATGTGTTCGCCAAGGACATACAGATACACTATGGGAGATTGCGAGTGAGCTACCCGAGGACGGGCCATGCTCGCCCGATGCTGTGACATACACCCTTATATTGAGAGCCATCAGAGACGCCGTTAGTACTGATGTGAATAAGATGTCTGAGATTGATCGCATCTTGGAACGAAAGGCTCAGGGCGTCAAGGAAGGCAAACGAATCTGGTCTGATGTTGTCTACCGGTGGAGTAGAGGTCAACTCAACTTAGACATCCAACTCGTGCGTACAATGGCCCGCCTCTTGCTTGAAGGCGGCAGCGAGCGCGATTGTTACGATGTCTTCGCGCTCTTGAATCAAACTACTGGGCTTCCCATCCTGGTAAAGAAGCCCTCACCTGAGCGTCAGCGGGAGTCCGAGACGGTCAGACGTCAAAAGAGCCGATCGGCAGAAAATGAAGAGATGGAAGACGTTCCCTTTGTAGACGAAGGCAACCGACCATACAAACCAGCGGAGACCGAAATGGAAGAACCCGAAGAAAAGGCAGAACAAAAAGAGGAAGAGGAAGATGACGAGGAATTTGAAAATCTTTTTGAGCCAGTGGTGTCTACTGATTCTGCTTCCAAAATGAAGAAAGGCACCATTGGTCCATCCTACGTTGTGCCAGGTGACAAGGAGCTCACCATACTCATGGAAGCTTGTTTTACCATGACTCAGGGTCTTGGTGTTGGAAAAGCTTACTGGCAGCATCTAACGCTCGGGGATCACGAGCATACCATCAAACCAGACATGCCTTCGTTGCATGCATACTTACGACTACTAAGACTGTATCGCGCTAGTCGTGCTACGGTCGAGGTTGTGCGCGACCAGGTGACCGAACCAGGATGGAAAACGTTCCACATCGCGATGAGCTGTTGTCTTCGCGATCGCAGGAATATCAACGTTCTCAAAAATGCCAACGAACTATTGGGATTGATGGACAAGTCCATGGTCCTTCCCCACCCTCGGGCGCTTGAAAAGTATCTTAACCTCGTGCAAGGACTACAGGACAATCCACAGCATCTCGTATCATTGAATGGTCTGAAGACTGGGCGAAAATCTTCGGACAGCCTCGACATCATGGGTCGGAGATTACAGCTGAGCTTGCAGACAGTTGCTTTGGAGAACCTGCGTCCTCACGTTGACAAGCTTCATGAGGCTATGAAGAATGGAAAGACTTCATTTATTGCACGGCGGGAGCGTCAGTGGGCGGCAGCGGGCGATACAGTTTCTGGTGCGACCGCTCGCAAGGTGATGGATCGCACCCGAGGTCTGATTGACGAGATCCTCAAGCCCGAAAATGCGTCCTTACTTTCCAAATCGGACCGTGAGCAATTCGAGCAGGAGTCGCAGAAACTCCGCGAATACTCGGACGCTGAGATGGTCCGAAAGTTCGAATACGCTCGAGTGCATCCCACCCTCGAACAGGTCATGGCATTCCAGGAGAAGCATGACCCTAAAGAAGGCTGACGAGGCCGCTGACGAGGCCGACTAAGCTTCGTATCCATATGCGAGGCTTATGGCCGGGCTGTTCTGAAGCTTTTTGGACTTTGTACAGCTTGTATAAACATCATCTCAGTACTATATCCCATCTTGGTCTGGCATCTTGCATGCATATACAGGGGTCGGCATTGCAACACTAACATCTCAACACTAACGTGCATATTATACGGGGTCTTCTGTTTCTTATAGCATTGAAGATCTGTGCCTGTAAATATTTAATCTCCATAATCACTTCTAGATCACATTGGACAATCGGTGATTGATGACTGGACTGGTCACATTGTGTCGAACTGATTCGAACTTAGGTCCACGTGCACTCGTGTCGGCACCAGCTGAGGTATACAACCGCTGATAAATCAGCACCTATTCTAAGACATATTAATACTATGAATTATTAGTACTAAGGTACTGTTGGGAAGGGCGGATTGTTATCGTTCTCAATTGTCCATAGAGATACTGTTCCGCCTGCCATTTTCGGCCCGTGCGCGTACGTAATGCCACTCTAGCCTCTCCGCCTGAGACAGCAGCATGATGGAGACTTTACTGCTGTTTCCAAGGGACACACCATCAAAATACTCTGTTGAGAATTAAAATACCTTTTGACATATTTCAGCCGAAGGGGCAAGGTGTTCGGAGAGTATACAGCTTGACAGGGTGTGAAGATCTACCATTGGACCAGAGTCGGAGCTCAAGCAATCTACGTGCCTACCATGGCCAGCACTTCGCAAAGTCGTTTCCATGAGGATCTACACGATGATGAATCGATTCTTGATGACGACCTAATTGAGGCAGATGCTGGTGAGTACGCCTCGTTTTCCAGGTTCTCTCTCGATTTTATCAGTTCGGCTCTTGTTTGTTTACCCGAGCTCCTACGATGTACTGATGTTTCGTGACCTTTCTATCATGCCAGCCATCGAAGCCGATGACCCTCTTCACACGTCCGATACCACTCCTCTAAGAGGCAACATCCAGTCCGAACCCTCGAGTTCGAGCAGAGGAGGTTTCGGAAGCAATTTATCCAGCAATTACCTGACATCGACCATACCGGGAGAGGATCGCCGCGCAACGCAAAACACCATCGATGAAACCGTGTGGGAGACGCTCTCACGAGATCTGCGAGCTGTGTGGGAGAAGATGCGCCAAGTGCTGTGGCCTAAGTACCTGATAGGCGGTATGCTGCGGCGCGGCGGCGGAGGCATCGGGGCCGCCGAGAGAGGAGAAGCGACCGGGTTCGGTGGCGGACTCAGAGGCCTTGTAGGACGCTGGCCGGATGCCGATGTGGTCTTGCAGGGTGGAATGAGTGAGGGTCTGCGTGACTGGGATCTTTGGTAAGTGGGAAAGGTCGATTGAAACGGCGGGCTGGCTGGCTAACATGTTCAATATGTGTAGGGGTCCGCTTATTTTCTGCTTGCTCCTGAGCATGTTCCTATCGATGCGCGCAAAGGATGACCAGTCATCCCTTGTCTTCTCGGGTGTCTTCTCCATAGTCTGGATTGGAGAGGCTGTTGTGACCTTGCAGATCAAGTTGCTCGGTGGGAATATGTATGTTTCTCCTTGGGGATGTTTGGAGTGCCGAAGTACAGAGGCGTTAATTGACTAACAATTGATCCTCGATCATTAGTTCTTTCTTCCAATCCGTCTGCATCATCGGATACACGCTGTTCCCTCTGGTCATCGCTGCTATGCTCAGCGCATTGGGTCTCCCGACTATTGCCCGGATACCGGTGTACCTAGCGCTCATTGCATGGTCCTTGGCTGCAGGTGTGAGCATTTTGGGTGGTTCGGGTGTGATCAAGAACCGGGTAGGCATTGCGGTCTATCCGCTGTTCGTATTCTACATCGCGATCGGCTGTCTTTGTTTTATCAGTTAGAAGATTGGAGGATCGATACGGCCGGCCAGATATCCTATCAATCTAGTTGCGAACGAAGGTTCCAGTATACAGTCAAGCCCGAGATGAATTGAAAAGGGACAGGAACACAACATTTGGGCATGTATGCTGCTATATCATCAGTGAATGAGCTCTTTTTTTGTTTGTTCCAGCTATTATCATATCGAATTCACAAGTATTGTACCCTTAGATATTCTAGCATTTTCAAGATATCTAATGGAATGTTCTGCCCAGACTCCATTGACAGCTGCTTCAAGGTAAGCGGGGTGGATCCGAGCGGTGACCGGGCGACAAGCCGGAGTGAAATAAGATAACACAACACAGCTCAGCGTCACGTGTTGGTACAAACCTCGTTGTACCGTGAGTGGGGCTTAAACTGCAGCTACTCTGTGTTGTACTCCCTTCTCCCCCTCGCTTGACGTTTGCTGGATTTATGACTGAGTCTTCGCACTTGAGACGACATATATATTTGTCGAATGACCCTTCTGATGTGCCCATTGAGTTGACACGGCAGGTCTCAGTGTCATACAGAGCCTTATCTACCAGTTCAGCGCTACGATAATCCGATCTGGGCTGGCCGTGAAAAGCTTGTCTCTACACTGTCGAATGAGGTTACTGGTGGAAATAACTGGTAAATATGGCGTCGGATCCACAACCTGCTGCAGTTATGGAAGGTAGAGTTCCTGTTTCCTTGAACTCGTATTGAAGTTCTATGCTGACGCAGCGGCTTGCTATTAGGTGAGGTTCGAAAGGAGGAGGAAACGGGAAAGTCGCAAGGTATGAGAACCACTGTCCGGGTGCTTGTTATCGTACTCAAGCGATTACCGGAAATCCTCTCTCTTTGCACAATTGGATTAACACCCACTGCGGCTGCAGGAACCACAGCGGAAGATAGCCAGGCGTCTGACAACGAGGGAACCGAGCGTCCCGTGCGACAGAAACTGAAGGAGACGTCAATCGCTTCTACTCAGCAGGAAACAATCACCAAGGACGGAGAGGAAGCAACCGATGCGAAGGTGACATCGACTACAGATGCACACCAATCATCGGATGTCAACGACAACATGGAACTCGGCGGAGGTTCGAATAGCCGGTCGAGCAGCCGTGGCAGAAAGAGATCATTCGACGACGACGAGGCCGAGAGTGATGGCGAGGAACATGGTCACAGACGCAAGAGATCGCGTGACTCTACCAGCGAAGGCGACGAGCAGCCGCCACAGAGTGAGAATAATCTTCCAAGGAAGATCTTGAGCCCAAAGAAAAAGAGAAGTCGGGACAAGCTCGATGAAGACGAGTCCGGGGAACGTGCTACGGGGAAGACGGATACGAAGACCGAGAATGTAGAATCAGAAGAGAAACCCGAGTCTGAAGGACAGCCTGAGAAGAAGCGACACCGTGACAATTCGACGGAAAGAAAGCCAGTAAGTGTTGATTGTCGAATGTAGTTTTGGCCGGGAATTGGCACTGACATGCATCTCAGCAGGCCCCTGTCACGAGCACCTTTGCGAATACGTCCGCAGTCTCTCCATTCGGCTCCCTTGGCGCATCAAAATCCAAAGAAGAAGAACCTACCAAATCGGCGCCTGTAACCTCTACCTCTGCCTTTGCCTCGTCAAGCCTAGCAGCATTTGCTGGCTCAGAGCAGTCGCCTTTCGGTTCGCTTGGAGCGTCCACTCCATCTGTTTTCAAGTCGCCAGCCGCGTCTGAGACTGAGAAACCAGCGGCCACGGGATTTGCAGCTGGAGCAAGTACCTCCGGCTTTGCGGCCTTAGGATCTGGTTTTTCAGGGTTCAGTGGTGGATTCGGAGCAGCTGCTAAATCCGGAGGGCTCACCAGCTTCGCTTCTTCCACTGCGCCTAGCACCTTTGGCAGCAGCAATAAGGACAAGCCATTTGGAGCAGCGGATGCGGATGAAGAAGAGGAGGAAGAGGACGAAGCCGAAACAGGTCCCAAAGAATTCGAGGCAGAGAAACCCGATGAGAGGTTCTTTGAGCGGCAGAGTATGTGATATTTTGTTCTATTCATACTGAACTGCTTCAAAACTGACGTCTTTTCTTTCTACCACAGTTGAGACAGGCGAGGAACAAGAAAAGACGTACTTCAGCGGCAAAGCGAAGCTTTTCCAGTTCACGAACAAGGAATGGAAGGAGCGTGGTATTGGCACATTCAAGGTGAATGTGAAAGTAACGGACGGCCAGGAGGACAAAACGGCGGCTCGCATGATCATGCGAGCGGATGGCGTCTTGAGGGTCATGCTCAACACGCCCCTTTTCAAGGGAATGAAAGTCGGAGATCCATCGGGCAACGAACCCAAGTCCAAGCAGATTCATCTGGTTGGTGTCGAGGATGGCCGTACTGTTCCCCTCCTGCTCAGGGTAAGGCATTCCTCTACAATTGTCCATCGTAATATGGTTGCTGACATAACACTAGGTGGGAAGTGAGGACGTCGCCAAAGAGCTCTACCATGTCATTCAGGATCTATTACAGCACCAGTAGACTATGTCACTAAGGCTCGGTTGCAACAATGCAACATAATCAAAGATGGAGTACACTGCACCAAATTATTAGCTGTCCATACTTGGAAACCTTTTACGATACCTGGACCGACAATAGATCTCATGGAGCAATTGACAGAGCGGGCTTCGAGATATGGGCTGGCATTCTTGCATTTTCTGGCTGGGCTGTTGGGGGCTTGAAGCCTTGGAGCATGATTGAACTACCTAGACTGAGGAGTAACTTTTGTCTTCTTTAATACATATTGCACTTTTCTCTTGCTTCGTTTCGATGTTGAAGCTACCTAGGTGGGAAGTAGAGTACGCTAGTCCGTAAGTGGGTATATGAGATGCGATGGCACGTGATGTCGCGTCTCGCCTGGTGGGCATTAATCTCGTTTGCCCACCTCCAATTCAGCAATATTGCATCCCAATGACAACCACGATGGAGCGTCGACATGGCTGGCCCAATGTCGGACTCAACTCCTCCAAGCCTCGCATTGAAAAGAAAAAGAAACGATGAGGTCGACGGAATAGACGACTTTGGATCAAACACACCCGAATTTAGCAACACGTCCACGGAGCACAACCCCCCTTTGCAAGAAGGTCCCAATACCAAAAGAAAACGCGGGAGACCGCGGAAGGCGACTAACGCGGATGTGACGCTCGAATCGGACGCCGCGTCTGGTAAGACAGCGATTAACCAGGGCGACAGTCTAGACTCGAAACGCGACGCGATACCCCAGACCGGCGAATCCGAACAGGGAAAGCCCAAATCCAAGTCTACCAGAACAACAAGAGCCCAAAAAGTGACCAAGAGCTCCTCGTCCAAGCGCATACCCTCCGGACCGTGGCCGGAGGCCTTCAAAAGTTTAGCTCAGACCCACCGCGCCCTGAATCTGGTGTATACGTTCTGCTGCACGCGCAAACACTTCGCCACGACGTTCGAGAATATCCGGAAAGCGGTGCAGGCGCAACTGGGTCGTGACCGCGAGCTGACTGTCGAGGATATTGCGCGGGTGAGGGTTCTGGTGCCTCGGGCGGTGAAGCTCGAGTATGTGGATGAGGCCAAGTTGGAGGTTATGACGGTGGGGGAGAAGGAGACGGCGAGGAACCAGTCTTATGGCCTCCCGCATCCGGAAGGCGATGTGGCTGATGTTGATGCGGATGTCCAGACGAAAGAGGTGTTGCTGTTCGAGTTCCTGGACGGGGATTTGAAGCGCGAGGTGCGACATCCGAAGAACGGGGAGCCCACGAAACCCGTGCGGAAGATGAAGGACGAGGATCTGAAGATGCCCGTGTACAGTCAAAAGCAGATGCTTGCTTTGATTGAGAAACGGAATAAGAAGTTCTCTGATGCCATTGACGCATTCCTGGTGCAGTGCGAGGATGACGGCACCGATCCAGTTGAGAGGCTGGAAAGGGAGAAGGACGCATGGATTCCGAGTCCTCCTGTTTCTGGGGATGACAGCTTAGAAACGACGAAACTCCTCTCTATGCCGCCTCGCGAAATCCCCAAGGAGCGCAAATCCATGGCAGAGATCATTGAAGAAATTCGCGCAATGGATTGGTACTTCGCTCAGATCGTACCCGAAGGTCATAGAGTGTTTGAAGCCCAGTCTCCCGTCTACGGAGATTTGACTTTTCAGCTCTCGCAGGACCTCGTTAACGCTTTGTACAACACAAAGGGCATAACACAGTTCTACTCGCACCAGGCAGAAGCGATCAACTCCCTATACGCCGGTCAAGATGTCATTGTATCTACGTCTACAAGCTCCGGCAAATCATTGATCTACCAGGTCCCAATGCTTCATGAGCTTGGAAGAGACCCTAACAGCCGCGGCATGTACATTTTTCCCACTAAAGCTCTCGCACAGGATCAGAAGCGTAGCATGAAGGAGCTTCTGCAGTTTATGGACGGCTTACAGGACGTCATGGTCGAAACATTCGATGGCGATACACCAATGGGGAGCCGCAACCTCATTCGCGACGAGGCCCGCATTATATTCACCAATCCGGACATGCTGCACATCACGATACTACCGCAGGAGAGTTCATGGCGTACCTTTCTGAAGAACCTGAAATTTGTTGTCGTCGACGAGTTGCATGTCTACAACGGTCTATTTGGATCACATGTTGCATTCATCATGCGACGGCTGCGTCGGATCTGTGCTGCGGTGGGCAACCGACATGTCCGGTTTATATCCTGTTCTGCCACCGTAGCCAACCCCGAAGAACATATGAAGGCAATATTTGGCATTGACGATGTCAGACTGATTGACTTCGACGGTTCACCGTCAGGCCGCAAGGAATTCTTATGCTGGAACACCCCTTACAAGGACCCCAACGACCCTACCTCAGGACGCGGAGACAGCGTTGCTGAAGCTGCGCGTCTCTTCTGTCAGTTGATCCTCAGAGGCGCGAGGGTAATTGCCTTCTGCAGGATCAGGAAAATGTGCGAGGTATTACTACAAGCCGTAAGGAACGAGTTTCAGACCATCGATAGAGCAGAAGTTGGAAAACTCGTCATGGGTTACCGTGGGGGCTACAGTCCACAAGATCGGCGGAAAATTGAGAAAGAGATGTTCGAGGGCCATCTGATGGGGATCGTCGCTACGAACGCCCTCGAGCTGGGTGTCGATATTGGCTCTCTCGATGCTGTAATCACTCTTGGCTTCCCTTATTCCATCTCCAACCTGCGCCAACAGAGCGGTCGAGCTGGACGTCGAAACAAGGATTCTTTGTCTGTGTTGGTTGGCGATAGGTATCCGGCCGATCAATATTACATGCAAAATCCAGACGAACTGTTCACAAAACCCAACTGCGAGCTACAGGTTGATCTTTCCAATGAGCTGATTCTCGAAGGACATGTTCAATGCGCAGCGTTCGAGATGCCGATCCGGCCGGACGAGGATCATGTCTATTTTGGAGAGCAACTGCATGAGATTGCGACCACGAGACTCGTGAAAGACAGCTTTGGGTTCTACCATTGCCACGAGAGATTTCGACCTCAGCCTTCCCGATGCGTGCCCATTCGTGATACAGAGGACCAGCATTTTGCCGTCATTGACGCAACAAACGCACGCAATGTCGTCCTGGAGGAAGTGGAGGCTTCTCGTGCCTTCTTCACGATCTACGAAGGCGGCATCTTTCTGCATCAGGGCCAGACATACCTCGTCAAGGAATTGAACACTGATCAGCGGTTCGCTCGCATTGTCAAGGTCCACGTGGATTGGAGCACAATGCAGCGCGATTACACCGATATTGACCCCATTGAGACCGAAGTGATGCGGCAGATCAATCAGACCTCCGCCTCCCGCGCATTCTACGGCTCGGTGCAGATCCACGCGGTCGTGTATGGCTTCTTCAAAATTGACAAACGCGGCCGTGTGCTGGATGCCGTGGCGGTGGACAATCCCCCGATCGACATCTTCACTAAAGGCATGTGGCTCGATGTGCCCAAACGCGCGCTAGAGATCCTCGAATCAAGACGCCTCAACATCGCTGCCGCTATTCACGCAGCCGAACACGCTGTCCTCTCCCTACTCCCCACCTTCGTCATCTCCTCGCCCGGCGACGTCAAGACGGAGTGCAAAGTCGCAAAGAAGGAACTCGGCAGAAACCTCAAGGTCGCAAACGAGATGCGCGATCAACAAATCAAAGAGAACATCAGGAAACTCCAGCCCCCGGCCCGGCAACGACCGGCGCGTCTCACTTTCTACGACGCAAAGGGCGGCTCATGCGGCTCCGGGATTGCCAGCAAAGCGTTCGAGTTCGTCGACGTCCTGCTTCGCCGCGCGGTGGCGCGCATCGAAGCGTGCCAGTGCGTGACGCCGCAGGGATGTATGGAGTGCGTTTGCGATGAGAAATGCAGGGAATTGAATTCCGTGATGAGCAAGGCGGGGGCCGGCGTCGTGCTGCGGTGTCTGCTTGGTTGGGATGTCGACATCGATGCCCTGCCTTGGGGTGAAGATGTCGAGGGCGAAGACGGACTAAGGGAACTGGCAGGGGGACTGGAGACCGTCATCCCGGCGACTGAGGTGCCGTTGCGTCGTCAGTCTCGTAACGATGGTCTGTTGTTACACTTCCAGCGTTGAGAGCAAGTATTGTCGGTATCGCAGTGCTCATCCAGCATTGTGATCCGTATGCTGGCCTACCCCGTTTCCGGTAAGACTGGGCCCCTCCTTCTTTTTTCTCTTGAAGGTTGTTGTAAACAGTTCGTGGCCAAGCTAGGTTGAATCAAATCGGCTTTAGACCTTTAAACTTGCTGCTCTTAAACGCAGAGATATGGCATTCAGTATGGTGCCGGAAGTGGGCGGCTCGATGGTGAATTACGCTGTCGAACGCAGAAGCTATCCGAAACCCTGTATTTAACCGCATTTTCGATCTGCAGGTAGTAAATATGAAAGGGAAGCTTGATCATTCTGTTATTGAAGTCTTCTCCACCAGACTCACAGACCTACCTACGCTTCGTTCTAGCTGATGAGTTTGGCTGACAACTATGTGTGATGGAGTTAAGGTTGCCAGGGAATTCACCACCAATAGCATCCCCTCAAATATAGACTCTCCACCATCTCATCCGATCCATGCGATCCCTTCCAGGGGGTGAATACGAAAATCTTCTCGGCCCAAGAATCCAGTCGGGTCCTTCCAATCCGTGTCCACGTGATTGGTGGAATAAAAATGCCCTTAAAGTCAAGTTATTTTCAAACTTCTACTAAAGTGAAGAGTAAGAAGGATCATTCAAGAATCTCAGGTCTCTACGAAGGATTCACCCGCTTTCAAATTTACTTGTTTGAGTCTTCTCTACCGCAACTTCTGGGACTTCTTCCAAAGCTGCAAAATCTGGCTCCACTCAATGTCTTACCCCCAGGCTACATTTCTGCATACGGCCTTCCACGGTCCTTCACTGCTGAACACAACCCGGAAGACGATTTCACGACAAACTCTTTACGTTCAGCTTGACCTTCTAAAATCTACCGGCCGCTATGATTGCTTCAAGTTGGCGTGGAATCCAATATACGAGGATAAATCGATCTGGCCCGGTGGAAAGCATCTTTTCTGGGACAGTGACATCGCCAAATGGATAGAAGCTGTGTGCTTCTTCCTCACTGAGCAGTACGATGCCCAACTGGACGCCTCTGTTCAGGAGCTTGTGACAATGATCCGCTCAGCCCAGCAGGAGGACGGCTATCTGAACCTTCATTATCAGGTGGTTGAGCCTGGAGCACGTTGGACCAATCTGAGGGATATGCATGAATTGTATGTGAGTTCCAGTCACTGAGGGTGACAGCGACATTACGTTGTACTAAGTACTGGAAAAGGTACAACGCCGGACATATGATTGAGGCTGCTCTATCGCATCGTCAATACTATAAGAATAACCTTCTCCTGGATCCGGTTATGAAGTATGTATCTTTGATGAGGAAGACATTTGGCGCAAGCGAAGGCCAAATTCATGGTTACCCCGGCCACCCTGAAATTGAGATGGCTTTGCTTCGCCTCTATGCCGCGACAGGTAACCAAGATGCATATGATTTAGCGCGGTATTTCCTTGAAGAGAGGGGGAACCCATCCGGGGTTAATGGGCGTCATTTCTATGATGTGGAGGCCGAGGATCGGGGCGATGTCCCTTGGAAAAGGCCAAACTCCTTTCCGAGGGCCAGGTCATACTGGTATTCGCAGGCTCATGAGCCGATTCTTAACCAGCAGACCATCGAAGGCCATGCGGTGAGGGCAATGTATCTGCTTACAGCAGCGGCTGACCTTCTGTGCTTGGACAGTTGCGCAATTCGCCCATTCGGTCCCACCAAAGCCCGGTGGTTTGACGCAATTACACGGTTGTGGGGTAACATGGTTGACAAGAAAATGTATCTCACTGGGGGTATCGGAGCGATTAAGCAATGGGAAGGATTTGGTATTGATTATTTCCTACCACAAGGAACTGATGAAGGTGGCTGTTACGCGGAAACCTGCGCCGCGATTGGCGTGATGATGTTGGCGGAACGTCTGCTCCACGTGGACTTGGATTCCCGATACGCTGATGTGATGGAGTTGTGTCTCTATAATGCCGTGTTGACGTCTATGAGCGTCGACGGTGATTTATTTACCTACACCAATCAGTTAGCCAGCTCTGAACAGGACAAGAGCAGCAGAGAGCACTGGTTCGATTGTTCGTGCTGCCCACCGAATATGGCGAGGCTATTCGGCAGCCTGGGTGGCTATCTATGGGATTTTGGTGGAGCAGACCATAGTGCTTACGTCAATGTTCATCTTTACACTACAGCGACGTTAAATTTCGCTGTCGGAGAGGAAGAAATCTTTCTCGAGCAAACCTCCGCTTGGCCGTGGGAGGGCAAGGTTTCGTTCACCATCCGCGCCCCACCTACGGTGCAGGTTACTTTACGGTTAAGAGTGCCGGAATGGGCAAATGGCGAATTTAAGGTATTACGAAAACCATAGTATCCAGCTTCTACAGAACGCTGACTTTGGGTTAGCTCGAACCAAGGCTTGAATCTGGCAAAGGGCTCGAAAAGGGTTATATCGTTCTGCCCGAATCATATATCTCAAGCGCGCCCCAGTTTACACTTGAGATCCAGGGATTCCAGCCGCGGCTGATTCAGCCACATCCATACACCAACCAGCAAGTTGCTGCTTTGGCCAGAGGACCCCTTGTGTACTGCGTTGAGGACGTCGATAATCCCTGGGAGAAAAATCACTTCAAAAACACCATTCTATCTCCATATGGGGGCATAATACGGGAGGAGTGGAGACGACGCATTGCGGACCATGAACATCAATACGTTGCACTGCACACGGTCGGCTCTATACGTTCAATTCCAGAGTGGGAGAACAAACCTACAGGCGTTGGACCCTGTTTAGGGGTCCTCCCACTCAGGCCGCCATCCAAGACAGAGACAGAGCTATGTTTCATCCCGTATTACCTTCGCGCAAACCGTGGCGGACGCGGCCAGATGCGAGTTGCGCTCCTTCTGGAACAGGAAGCAACGAGGCGGTGATTTGTTTTGACAGATGATATGGGATGTGAATTTGGCTGGCTGACCACAACTCCAAGTCGCTAAAATGGCGCCCGCCACGAGACTACAGTAGTTGTATCGTTGGCAGGAAATAGTTGAGTTCGAGAACTGTTGAGCCGCATGGGCAGCCATTCGTCCTTGGTCTCACAGCTCTGGGGGGTATTTAGGCTTTTTGCCGATCCTCCCCCACCCTCTCTCTTCTTCACCTACCTAATCACCATTCAATACACACATTTCATGTGGTTCCTTTCCTCCTAGCTTCTGCCCTGCGTAGCTTCATCGAGAACATCCTAAAATGGACTAGCGTAATTTTCAGTGTTCTCAAAGGTCGGGTCAACCAAGTTCTCCGTGCCCTGAATACTCTATCACCGCTACGTATTGTTTTCCTAGATTTACGAAATATTGGGAGACCTTCCATCATTTTTCATGGAGCAATCATCCTTTTGAAATTGTATGCCGGACAATATGGGTGTCCTAGCCCCTGATCGCAATCTCAGTGTCTCATGACGCCCAAAGAATCACCCCACCAGTTCAGTAAATTCGTTTCTGAAGACTAAAATAAACCCGAGGCTATCCAGAAGCACCCGCAGTGCAAGTGACACCGAGATCGCTCGGGGTATTAGTACAGAGGACCTTGCTTGCCTCATCAGGCGCCACGACACTGAAGTCCCCAATCACCATCCCACACGTCCCGGCTGAGGAGCAGTCGATATTAGCCACGACGTCTTTGTAGTGGCCAGATGTGGTGCCAGAAAATCCAGAGAAGACAACATCACTAATCTGCCCCGTCGATGGGTACTGTGCGCAGTACGTCGAGTTTGACGAGTAACAAGTTTCAATCTGGATGGCGTAGTTGCACGAGTCGCAGAAGATGTCCTCCCAAGTGACATTGGAGACGATTCCAGTGCCGTGCGTCGTTCCGCCGGGGTAGTACTTGATACCTGCTGCTTTTGTTGAACCGCTCATAGTGCAGTTCTTAAAGATGCTGTTTGTTACGATGTCATCTGAGTTCGCGCCTCCTGCTAAGCTGCCAACGGAGAGGCCGTGTGAACCAACGCAGGTTATGCCAGTGGCAGTCACATAACTAGCACCAGGCTTGAGAACAACACAGTCATCATTATTGGTGATTTGCGTGTTTTGAACTGTGACATACGAGGCCGGGCCGATGTCGAAGCCGTCTGTGTTATGAGCGACATTGGACGAATTACTTACGGAGTAGAGGTTCATATCAGAATAAACAACATTTTTAGAGTTGCCACTGGTCACAACATGAAACATAGGCGCATCCTTGAGAGTAATTCTGCTCATCTGGATGTTGCTAGAGTCATCCACCCGGATCAAGTATGGGCGCTTGTAGGAGGAGTTGCTAGCGAAGTAATCCCCTACACTTGCGTCAGCCGTTGTTCTACTGGTCCCGTTTTACATTTTTTCAAAGAGACTTTTCAAGGGAGTTGTCCGGAAGACGTACAGCTTGCCTGGCCATTACCATTAATCATCCCTGATCCGGTGATCCTTGCACCTGTGATGCCCTGCAGGTGGATGATTTCACCCTTGCCGTTCCAGTAATTGAAGTCCGTCGACACAGAGAGCTCGCCCAATATTTTGAAGGTGCATCCACTACAGCCGGCGAAAGAGAGCTGGCTGTTAATATAGTATGTTTGAGCTCTAGTATGACGATGGTTCCGTTCGGGCAAGCATTGATAGCAGACTCGATGGCCGGAACATCGTCTATAGTGGGCGAGCCACCTGCGTTGGGAGTGCATGTGGCAGCATGTGGACTGAGTTTGACACGATCAGGAATAGAATGGCGAATGGGCTCACTGGCTGCGAGGTAAACGAGACCTGCTGCGATGGTCGACACCCCAAAAAGCTTGGGCAACATCTTAGGCGAGTTCCTGTGTGAAAGACACGAAACTTTGCATGGAAAATGAACCTAGCGTGTTGGAATATCAAACTTCTATACAGATATCCTTTCAGGCTGATTTCTCATCCAACGGCAGTTTTACAGTTCCCTCGTGGCGAGAAGCCTGCTCCTTCTGCTGATTAGTGGAATTCATGCACACGGAACCGCCAGCAGAATTACCGTGCCATAGTGGTCAATGCTCGAATCTTTGGTCATCTAACACTCCTGTCGAGCACATTTTCCGGCACTTCCACCTGTTTGCCCATAGTGCGTGTTTGTGGGGACCCGGATAAAATGGACAAAATGCGTTGTCCACTCTGGAGATGGCTTCAGCCCCGTTGGGTCCCTTCCCCACAGCCCACACATACTCCCCGCATTTCTCCAGTTTTGAAGATTCGCAAGAGTTGGAGCACAAGGGATATGGTTACCTCTCCTATAGGTGGAAATTATGAGAGACACAGTAAACCTAACCGGCCACTGTTCTTCCGCGACTTGTCAGAGCACAAAATGGCTGTGCAGGTTAACCCGTCCATTCTGGTATCCAAAATATCCACGTTCCGACTGTGGAGACATTTCAACAGCTGTAAATCTGATACCTATTGGCAGCTTGGACCAACTCTGATCTCAACAGGGAAACACAAAAGATCCAGTACGAAGCGTTTTGCTTCTGTCTGCCTTCGCTGTCCATTCGTCCTTTGCAGGTCAAGGACATCCGTATCTAGTGGATGCCTCACTGTGATGTCCTCTGGCGCGTCGTCCACAGAGTACAGCTCACTGAGCGCGGTCATTACTCCTCTCGTATGTTCTATGTTGAGGGGTCGCTTTCCCAACCAGTCTTCTTCGGCGGAACAGCCGAACGATCAGATCGTCTAGGTGAACATTCAAGGTGAATACACTGCGATTTTGATAAAGTATCATCTATCAGGAGACAGCCGCAGATTGAGACTATGCCAATGCTCTTAGCTTGGCTTTCACATCTGAGTGGCTTGGGTCAGCACCTCTGATTGCGTAGAGGAGATTCTGTATAACTTACAAGGAATGACCAACCAGGAAGTCACCTACACATCACATGCAGTGTGCCGAACATGATCTTGACTGGCGCACACCACGGGAAGCCTCCGTGGAGGTATTTGGACCTCAGTGGTTTTAAAACTACAGTCATAAGACCCCCGTGGTTTAAAAACCACGATACATATCAAGTACAAAGAAGACGACTCGAAAAGATTCCCCAGACCCATCAAAGAAAGAATGCCGTGAAATTGAAAGCTCATCCAACTTTTGGATCATCTTATAAATACACCTCCTTTCACTTAAACATTTCGTCCCCGCACACTCTTGGCTAAGCATTGAACAACGATTTCCGACAATTCTTTCGAAGCATGGGCACTGCCCTTTTCACGAAGCGATGAAACATCGCATTTCTTGCACCCCCTTTGGTACATACCGCTGTCATCGACTGTTAGGGTGTACCCATCGCCAACGGTAAACAAGAAGGACCGAGTTTCAGAATCCTTGATTTGGGACTAGATTTAGCAGATTGCAGATGTTGCTCTATGAAACATGACTTTACACTATTATATAAACAGTAGGCTTAAGAAGTGACACATACAGGTTCCAAAAAGCTGTTTTCATGACAGATTCACTGAGATTTTCCTGTTTTTCCTATGCCCCCGGACTTTCGAAGTGAAAAAGACCAGCTTTTACTTGTCCTAGCCCTGATCCAACAATGTTTAATCGAGGCCTGTGGTAACAATAGTGGATCAGCTCATTGTGTCTTTCGGTGGTAGACGCCGGAATTGCGAAAGTCCACCACAGCCCGCCTTCGATTCCGGTAGTCATTTTCGATATGCGGTACATCGAAATTCTAATTCCCAAATCCTTCGCCTCAGTGTTCGGGAGCACCACCGGAATTTTTCCATTTCAGGGACACAAAACGTCTCGACGGAAAGGAATCAATCGCTTTATGCCGCAGCTAACTGAAATGAGACTTTTGGCCAGGTCACTGGGTTCAGAGGTATCTTCCCACCAACGAGAGATCTGATCTAAAGATATACATCACATTTGGTGTGGAGGAAGGGATACTCTCGTATTGAGGTTAGTCCCCTGGTCCAAAACCAATGGATACGTATTCTGAAGTTTGAATGACCCAGCTGAATGACCGAGCTCACGTTGACGGGGCACCCTGTCCCTCCGCTATAAGGACAGCTCCTCAGACATCCACTCGGCTCATCCTTGTCTTCGAGTATCTCTAACTTGAGCGTGGTATTCCAGACAAAATGATCAACAAGAAAGGACTTTACAACTGGTTAGTACCATCTCCAATGGACTTGGCGCCGCGAGAATTGACCTTTGTTTTTCCCTAGGTATGTTGCCATGGTGGCGGCAGGATGTATGGTGCTTTCTGGCTATGACGGGTCTGTTTTCAATTCAGTCCAGAACTCCCCTCATTGGATGAAATATTTCGATACCCCGGTAAGCCTACCTTCACTATCAGAATTGATACTCCTATCCCTCCCAAGTAACACTCTTTTTCTACATGGTCGCATAGACAGGGAATCTTCTTGGATTGATCAATACTACCTACACGATTGGCGCAATTATTTCCGGATGGTTCCTCGGTGGTCCTACAGTGCGCAAACCCTCTCGTCCCTCCTTTGCTGTTGGCTACTAACGAGAAGCAGGCTGATTTCCTGGGGAGAAGATGGGGAATGGGTCTTGGCTGCTTTATCACTATAATTGCTGCATTCATCCAGACCTTTGCCCCAGAGCACAAAGTCGGCATATTCATTTTGGGCCGGGTGATTATTGGCATCGGCCAAGGAATGGCGTTAAGTGAGGCCTTCTACGACTACGGCAACTGTGAAATCCTGCTTATTCTTATTCTTATTCTTAGCGGCTGGCCCTATCTACATCGGAGAGATAACCCCTGCTCACATCCGCGGCAAGGTCATGTCTTTTTGGCAGCTTTTTTGGTCCGTTGGGTCATTTTTGGCCTACTGGATCAATTATGGCACCGCCAAACGAAGTGCCACGCTGCGAAACTGGGACTGGAAAATTGTGGTCCTCTTGCAGATCATCGTTCCCTTCTTGATCATTTGCCAACTACCCTTCATGCCTGAATCTCCACGCTGGTATATTCAGAAGGGCAATAGGATTGAAGATGCCCGCCGGTCGTTAAGCAGAGTACGTGATAATGAGGAAGATATCGAAAACGAACTTCACTCAATTCGAGATGCGATTACGTTTGAGAAGGAGGCCATCTCAGTATCATATCTAGCTCTCTGGAAGGACAAATCCATCCGCAAACGACTTTTCCTTGCCTTCGTGGTCAATATCGGTCAGCAACTCAGCGGCCAGGGAACGCTAAATACATACTCCTCAACCATTTACAAGAAGATTTGGGTAAATGCTAACACCATTAACTTGATTAACGCGCTTAACTCGACATGCGGCATTCTATTTACGCTTAATGCCGTCTGGACTATCGACCGCTTTGGCAGGAGATTCCTTTTTATGGTTGGTGCGATTGGAATGGCCACGTGCATGCTCCTCGTTGCGACTATTGGGTTAACTACCCCGACCCTTGCATCTGGTGGCAAGTCAGAGCCTGTCGGGGTGGCCCTGGTATTTCTGCTTTTCCTTTTCATATTTTTCTATAAACCCTCATGGGGGGCAACTACTTGGATTTGGACTTCCGAAATCTTCTCGATGAATGTGCGTGCCCAAGCGATGGGTATGTGCTCACAGATGCAGAATGTCGCCAACCTTGTGTTCCAACAATTCTTTCCAACATTTTACAAAAATTGTGGTTTGTGAGTCTAGCCCTCTTTACCTGGTCCCTTGAGTTCCAGCTAACCATGTTTAATATCAGAAAATCCTTTTTCTTCTTTGTAGCATGCAACGTCTGCTTGTTCATATTTGTTTGGTTCCTCATCCCCGAAACCAAACAAGTGACATTGGAGGAGATGGATGTGCTTTTTGGGGGTGTCAATCACGTTGAGATCGGGGAGGCAATGACGAAGCAAGAGACCCAACACGACGAGATTGTGGTGCATTCTAAGAGCACTAAATAATGAAACAGGGATATAAATGTGTGTTTGAGAAGTAGGTTGTTCCTATAGCTTTGTCATATTTTGGCCTTAGTCTCTTTTCTTCACCATTCCGACTCTTTTATCATGTTGACTTGCACTGGTCAGTGATGGTCTTTTAGCCTTGATCAGTATCTCACGCCCGTCGTAGAGGAATCTTTTCTCTGAGAGTATCTTGTAGAGCTTGTTTCCTCTTAGAGGGACTTGGTTCCTCTTGCGTGCAAAGAACAAGTCTCGGTGTGAAATAAATACTTTACTTTTTGATGGAGATTCCTCCCTGTTCCCTTTAGTAGCTTCTACAGGACCTTTGCGGCTTCTTCCTGATCTTTCTCTGCACGATGCAGGTTGCCGCCTTTGTTCGATATCATATATAGGCCCTGGTTTCCTTCCTGACTTCCTGTCTTCCTTCTCTTTCGAGTAATAATATCACTTATTGGCGCTTCAGATCCGGGGCAGGAAGAAAGTTCCCACGAGTACTCTCCATACTCGACGTCAATATCCTGAGTGTTTTTAGCGCCACATCCAATTTGAAAAATGGATTGGCGACTTTGTTGTTCTGGTAATGGGCTGGTGAGGATGAGATCCAATCTCAGCCTGAGGATCACGACAGAAAGTCGGAAGAGTTGTGGCCACATTGTACAAGCCAACACCATCGATAGCCATACGACGAAAAGCCAGGCACAGAATCAACCAATGGCCCATGACATTGGCCCGAGCCCCGAAGACAGGAGTTATAGTCTCTGCGACCATGTCGAAAGGTATAGGAACAAGACTTTCGTTTAGAAATTGACCACTCTTGACATTTGAGCCCGAGGTCCGAGGTGGCAGGAGCAATGCACAAGGGGTGATGTTTGATTTTCAGCATTGGATGGTCCCTCAGAAATTCAAGCTGCTTTGGGGGCTGCACTTCCAACACATTCTTCTTTCCCTTCAGCTGGGTAGAAGCAGTCACGTTTCCTGCGAGAAATGGCAATAGCGGCACCAACCGTGAGACAGCGAGGGCTAGAGTTGGAATTGCTAAGTACGGGATCTCGATGTGGAAAATAAAGGACGGAAATAGATGTGCACAACGAATAGAATTATCGGGCGGAGTGAGAACATAAGGAAGCCGTCGTGCAGGCAATGCTATCTTGGCCTTTTCAATATGAAAGACCAAGGGCACGCCCAGATCCAGGAAGAGGACAATGTGTGTTTGGAGTCACGTCCTCGAAATCGGAGGGACCTACTCTTCTTTTTATGTTCAAATCTGGCTTGGGCTTTGGGTTTGGGCATAAGGAGGGCTGAAATGGAGAGTGTAAACGACAAAGGCTCCCTTTTCATCGATTTAGGCGTGGTCTGCATACGCAGAATATCAATAGTTCTTGAATATTTTGGAAGACATAATATCATCGCATACTTGATGTGGTCTTTTCCTCTTCGATTCCTGTTCATAATAAGTGTTGGTATCACCAGCTAGGTACTGTGTACACAGTTAAGTGGACAGCATGTATGCTCGAAAAGCAAAGTCAATTGATTCATGTAGAAAGATGTATGTTCCAGGTCATGCTCCAAGATACCGCTGAATCCAATGCGGCGGGAGCCGCAGCTTAGCAAGATTACATACTCCGTACACCAAGCAAAGACTGAGAGAGTCGGGAAGCACACTGCGTTCCTATTGGGCGACTAACTCCTAATATACACCTGACTACGTCGGGACGCTAAACCTGAAAGGGGAGAGGGAGAATCCTAACAAAGCTGCTAGTGCCTAGACCTAGGCAAAGAGAGCATCAGTGACTCCTGACTTATTATGACAGTTGCGCCACTGGTCTGCCTGACTCACCGTAGTCACGTGTCGTCGGCAAGCTTCTTGACTGCGCAACCATGTAGCGTCCCCAACTATGTTCCCCTCCACACGAACAAGGCCACTCTCGAATTTTGAGCCTGGAGAACAAAACAAGATCTGATATTCCAGAAGACATTATTATTTCTCTACCCAACTAACATAACCCTCGCGATGGCCACTAAAGCCGACTTGCCCCAACCTGAGGATGAAGCTCCGGGCATACCATCTGTCGACCCGGATGCCCTGTGCATAGATGGCCATCTATTCCGCATTAACTACGATGTTCCAGAGGAGATTACCGAGCAACTGTGGGAACTATACGACCGTGATGCAAAGTATGAAGAGATCCCGGAGCACCTAAAAGCATACGAAACCGAAATGGAAGACCCAGCCGTGGAAGAGGCACGGCTGGTGGAGGAATATAGACGTAAGAAAAAATCCTCAAAACAGAAGAGATCGTCCAAGGAATGAAGGACTAAAGCTGCAATCCACCTCCTCTCATTGTTTGGAAGGTAGTATTATTATACGGATGTGCTGAGGAGTGCGACACCTGGTCAAGCCTAATATTGTCATTCCGATCCTTGTTGTCGTGCGTCAGATAGGCAGATATTTGCAATAGTTTTAGGACGGATTCTCTTACCCGTCTACTTCACGCTCTCTAGGACTCATTGGTGGGTCAAAGTCCCAGAATTGGTTTAATCCTTTGTAATGATATCCATATATTTTAATGCAGATTCGTTGACATTACCAGCACCCATACTAAACTATAAGGCCACTGCTTTAGGAGAGAATGGCTCCTTAAGAATTGACTGCATTCGATATGTGGCTTAAGTAGGGCTGAGCGGACGAAAAGCCCTTTTTTCCACACCCTATGATCGTATGTGCTAGATCTGAGACAGATTCAGCTTGTATCGAACAGCCTTGACAGGCTTGAGAGATGACTGTAGATCGTCTATTGTTATCGCGCTGCGATCATAGCGGAGTCTGTATACAAATGCATGGATATGATGTATGGGTGAAATGCCGTTTGTATGAAATGCCAGCCAACCCTTGTAACAACTCCAGGTATAAACGAGTATTTGCGCTTTATGCTTGCCTCCCAATGCTTCGGTTGTTGATAGACAATTCAGTAGAGCAGGAAAAACCGGAAAAAAAGTATGAGGGTATATAGGTTGAACAGACACATGAAGGTAACCAAGAATAGGTGACAAAACGAGGAAGGCTGTGATATCCTGAAGTTGGTCGAGTGACACAGCGGAAGATCGATGAAGAGGTCTCTCAGAAGAAGTATATAAAAAACGGCATCCAGGTTAAGCTCAAGTATATCCAGCGCAGCAGCTCGAAGGTGATGCGTAACAGAGGCGTAAGAATGTGGCCTGATCATTCGGAAGCACTGAGACGGGTTATTCAAGAATCTGAGACTCTTCTTCATAACGTATCGTGAAGTTCGATTAAGTGAAAAGCATATGCAAGGACTCAGTTGCCATATCATCATCGCGAAGCTTCCAAACCAGCAGAAGACGGGCTAGTCTCGCTTTCGGTGTCATCCACGCTAAGTTTCCAGAAGATGGTTCTCATGTCGCGTACGTTTTCCCGAAAGTCGTCTCGCGCATGTGTTGTCCTTTCTTCAGTCATTGAGCGAACCTCACGGATGATCTCGGGGTATCCTTCCTCATTTGGTAGCCACCAGTGGTTGATCTCGGGCAATTGCCAAAGGGCTGCCATGCCTGCACGGAACTTGGGGGGCGTGATATAGCTGTAAAACAACGTTTTTAGCTATTGCTGGCCAGGAACATATTGCACACCGCGCAATGAAATCAAAAAATGCAAAGAAGAAGAGAGCGAGAATACTTACCCGTTCTGCTCCATCAGCGCGAATTTTCTTCGGGCCCACATGACATGTTTATGATCCCTTGGCAGAAACATGCTCGCCATTCCAATGCTGTGCTTGAATGCAAACATATAACCGTTCTCCTTGTCGGGCCACCTTTCGATTGTCTCCATTATTCGGCCCTGCTCCAGAGCCAAATATTCCAACTCTGCCATTGATGATTGGCGAACGGACAATAAGGATTGGTACTTGAACATTGCTTTTGTTGACAGGTAGTCGATCCAAGCAAAATTAACCTCCCATAAGGGGCCGACATGCAGACCGCCAGGAACGTAAGGGTCGACGAAGTCATCTTCTGTCAACGGTTTTTGATTTGGAAAGTTTGTGACCGTGTACTCTGGATCTGTGAGTGTTTCCAGGATGCTCTTCATCTTCTCCAACAGTTGGTCGAGCTGCTCGTTTTGACCAATGAACTCCTCGATCGGGATCATTCCGCGGGAGAGTTTTGCATACAGAGAGGCCATCTCTAGCCCGAATCGGCGATTTATGGACCCAGCCAGTGCGAGCTGCTTCTCCTGGTCTTCCGGGAAATTGGCGGCTTGTTCGGCGTCATATTCTTCTCTAGCGATGTACCACTCACGGCCCAGAATCGCCTCGTTTCCGGCCAATATTCCCGCGACCAGGTCGAATCGAGCGTACCAGAGGAAGATGTTCGCATGGAGTTCGTTGTATTTGACGGATTCTGGAGTCAGGAGTTCGCGCATCAAGGAATGAGCGGCCTGATGATGGTCGATGAGATTCACCCAGTCGCCTATGAATTCCTGTACTCAGTGAGCATTGGGACGAACCAAGTTTGAAGTGTGATACTAGAGAGCGAGCGGGACAGTTCAAGTTCATACCTCGAAAGTTGTAAGCGCAAGAACGGTAATGAGCGTTGCTTCAGAATGGGGCTCTCCCGATGCCAAAGATTTCCGCAACAACTTCAAGGCCTTGTCGTAATACTGAAGAAAGGTATAGAGTTTCCCCGTGCCGCTATGTACGCAATGGTGGTAAGCAGAGAAACCGACGATCGCATAGAGAAGCGGCTCGTATTGCAGGGCAAATTTGATGATGCTGTGATGAACAAACTGATCGGAAGACGGCCTCATAAAATAATGACGATACGTCATGTACTCTTGATGAAAAGTAAGGTAAGATCGCAAATCTTCTGGCAGATGTGAGAAGTGGTCGGTGCCAAGAGGTTCCTGACTGGACAGGCCGACACTGGCCGACCGCGCACTCATCGATTCAAATCTAGAGGAAGCTTCGGTGGAGGGTGAACTGCCTTCTGTG